AGAGAGAGAGAGAGAGAGAGAGGAGAGGAAGAGAGAAGAGGAGAGAGAGAGAGAGAGAGAGAGAGAGAGAGAGAGAGAGAGAGAGAGAGAGAGAGAGAGGGAGCCATTAGCAGCTCAGCACTATAAGCTTAAAGTTCTTATGTTGAATTATCGACGTTCATTATGCCAGGAGGAACTCGTTAATTGACGCTATAGAATAAACAATGGCTATATTGAAAGCACTGGATATCTCAAGCTGTGATTATGATCACGAGTCATGCTTATGCTGTGCTTTCATGCTGAGCTTATGCACTTGCGGTTATAAGCACAGGTTGCACCGTCGAACGCTGTCAAAATAGCCTGTGTTTGCCCTATAACGTCAATTAACGGGTACCTCCTGGTATACCGAAGGCCGATAACTAAGAACAAAATATCAGAACTTATAGCTGGTTTAAGTCCAGGTTTCCGGGTCTTCAGGCGTTCTGGCACGTTAATATTAGCTAACAACTCAAAGATCCCGCTCGGCAGGTTTCACGTGCACGTTAAGTTAAAAATTGTTTATGAAGAATTACAAAGCCGATGCAATCTTCGCGCACTTTGGACAACATGGGTGACAAATTTAAGCGAAGCAGCGCAAGTTACTTTAAATATAGGGCTAGGAGTACAGAAGAAAGTCTTTGCTTGTGCTTTGCTATGCCATGCTTACGTCTAACGTCAGAAAGTATACACCTATTCCACGCACCGTTTGTTCCAACTAAGTATCAAAAAGGCGAACTTTGCTTTTTTGTGCCGTATCATTTTGAGATGGCTTCACAAAGTGTTCGACAAATAGCGAAAGTTAATGAAAGCAATGAAAAGTCAGGAAGACAAAGTCACAGACCCTTCTTAGCGTAAGCATACATGTTGCCGCAAGTCAGGCTTTCGGTGTGTTTTTTTTTATTCGTATTAGTGCAGTGAACTTCACTGATGAAAACAATAAACTTAGAACTGTTTAGTACTTACCTCACTGAATTAATGCAACCGCTAAAGGACCGCATCCAAATCACTTTAGACTCATGGGCTGATGGGCGGACTGATGCATAATTCACATCGTATTCCAGCAATCACGGAAAAAATGTCATTTCGTGGTGCATACGTTTTAAACGCTTATCTCAAGCGTTACAAAATCATGCTTGTAACGTTTGCGCGTTTCAGCGATTCATGAGTGTTCGGGTCTCCAAGTGTCAGGGAGTCAATCGGAAGGCGGCCCATAGTTCAGTGTATGGTCTGTGACGTCAGCGCCCAGCCTTCGGCGGACGATTACGACCAGCCGGGCTGTTCTCCGGAGAAGGGCCTCACCAGGTCCGATACAGCGACCAGCCATTACTGCGAATCATCTATGTGCGGACTGTGAATCACAATGGCCCGATACCTCGACTAGCCATTGCTAGGAATCCGTTCTGCTCGCCTGACCCATGACCGCCGACATGGGCCAGCTCTGTAGCTGCCATTGCTGCGAATCTGCCTTCAAAAGCGGAAGCTTCCGTATCGTGGGACGATGATCATGAGGCGGCCTATATTACTTACACTGCACGAATAGTGTAATTTTCTCCGCACCAGATATCTTGGGGCTGCAATAACTATATTTTCCTTTTGGTAGGTATACGTTTGCAGTCAGTAAAGTAGTACTCATTCATAGTCAGGTGACGCAGTCTTCCGTGAATGGTGTAAAGGCTCATAACACCCGAATGCCTACCACACATGCTATAGTGATGCCCATCTGCCCCTCCTGTCCTCGATTATACAACCCTGTATTACACCTTACACATCAGCCAGCACTATAACACGATTCTCCGGCCAGTGAGCGGACCCGACGTGACCCGAGCTCCCACGCGCCGCAGGCGAACTCGTGTCACGTGGTGGTGGGATGGCCCATCGAGCGAGCGCTGCAAGTCGGGCGGCGACGAGAGGACCGCGCCGCGGCCAGGCGCCCGTCGACGTCGGCGGCATCTCGTACTTGATGGCGGCTGTGTTCATCATAGGCGAGATCGCCGGCAGCGGGATGCTGGCGCTGCCCTTCTCGGTGACGCAAACGGGTGAGTCGATGGCACGAGCTGATTATGTTCTCACTGGCCGGTCCTCTGCTCCGCTGCGGCTGCAGGCTGTGTCGGCCTCAGGTGCCTGCGTCCGCCGCTAGTGGTGCAGGCTAGTGAACGCGGACCCTGGCCGGTGTTCGCCGCTGGTGTTGCAGACCGGGTGGGTCTCAGACCCTGGCCGGTGTTCTCCGCTGGTGTTGCAGACTGGGTGGGTCTCAGCCCCTAGTCGGTGTTCGCCGCTGGTGTTGCAGACTGGGTAGGTTTTAGCCCCTGGCCGGTGTTTGCCGCCGGTGTTGCAGACTGGGGTGGGTCTCAGACCCTGGCGGTTGCTCGCCGCTGATGTTGCCGACTGAGTGTGTCCAGCTGGTTGAGTCGATTATTGCTGGTGTTGCAGGATGGGTAGGCGTGCTGGTGGTGCTGCTAGTCGGCTTCGGCTCGGCCTACTGCGGCATGTGCTTGTCCCGGTCCTGGCTTATTATCGAGAGCCGCTACCCGGAGCTCAAGAGTCACTCCCAAAAGCCTTTCCCCGACATCGCCGAGAAGGCGTTCGGGTCATGCGGCCGGTGAGAGCTGCCGGCACCTGGCGGCACGGGCAGAGGCGGGTTGGGCGGCTGGCCAAATCGATCGGCATGGTACTGGGTAGTTCTTACAGCTGGGGGATGACTCTTTCCACGAGATGTTGCTGATGGCTCCAGGCAGCGGAGAATGCAAACAAACTGCTTCTAGACACCAGTGGTGCTTTCGGGAAAGGTACACAACGACAAAGCAAATAATTCCAACCGTGCTATCATTATATCTTTGCCATCCAATGTGGTCACAACTGTTGTCGGCATGGATGCTACCAAGAGCCTTGTTCTCAATATGTTCAACCATGCAAGAATAATGCGTACTCTCGTGTGCTTCTCAGGGTACTTGCTGCGGTCTGCATGTGTGTGAACACGTTCGGGACGTGCACCGTATACGTGCTGATCGTGGCCCAGATTCTGGAGAACCTGTTGTCGGTCTATGTGGAGATGCGTTACTGCTTCTGGGTGTTAGTCATCGCCTGTCTACTCATCCCAGTGTCCTGGCTTGGAACGCCCAAGGATTTGTGGTGAGAAAGCAATGGTGCAAGCGTCCAGGAGAGTTCTTAACAGGAGCATGTGCATGAAGAAAATTTCTGTACCGCATTGTTCGTGTATGTCGCAATAAGAACGTTCCCTAAATGGTCGCAGATCAGTACAGACAGCTTATGAAGGATTGAGAACACGCTGCCGTTACAGAACAAACATAGGTCGTCTTGTGCCAAGAATCGGTTTTCCCGCAACGGCTTCTGTGCAAGTTCCCCAAATTCTGATGAAAGCGGCACCGACAACAATCGTTACCGTGGTGCACGAGCACGCCCGAGCCCGTCGGCTAGATCGACACTAGCAGGCCGTGGTATTTGTGCTGCGGGCGCGCATTACACGGTGAAGACAATAAGCAATGTACTCACGTTCATCCGCCGTGAACACCGCTCCAGTACCTTCCAGCGCGGGAACTGTTGCTCGACTGCTCTGTCATTTATCGCTGTGCAAACAATGCGCCAACCAGTGTCCACTTGCTTCGTTGGGTTTTTAGAAGATCGAATTAACAGTGAGCCCGTTCCAGTTGGACCGGTACCACTGCAGCCTGACCTCAGCGTGTGCCCGTTCCACTTGGACCGGCACCGCTGTAGCCTGACCTCAGTGTGTACCCGTTCCAGGTGGGTCGGCATCCTAGCGCTGGCCACCACCTCGCTGGCCTGGTTCTTTTCCATGGTCCAGCTTTCCGTCTACTTTGACACCCTGCACAAGAAGGCCACCTTCCACCAGCCCGACTTCCTGACCTTCTTCCTGGGCATCGGACCGATCCTCTTCGCCTATGGCGGCACCGCCACACTACCCACGATCCAAAACGATATGAAGAGCCGAGAACTATTCACGCGCTCCGTCATCGTCGGATACGCAGGTCAGGAACACGGCGGACCCCAGAGGAGAGGTTCGCGGCTTGGTACCCTTTTTGATTACCTGCAGTGTAGGTAAATATTTCTGCAATCTGCCCATGAACACGCTGGTAAACGCGCAGAGACAAACCCAACGTGATGTGCAGTAATGATGATAGAAACGCGCTACCTCCGACACGTCTTAGAGCAGTTACCTCAAGATGGTCAGCATCTGTATATGACACGGATACGCAAAGATCGGTGAGCGGAGCTGATGGCGTTGACAGACTATTTCGCATGGACGAATCTCCATCTGTCCGACACGCAAGACTGTCACGGTTGGTTGCCATCTTCGTTGAAAGAACTTCAGAGGAAAACTCAGAATCCGCCTGTTTGTATTGATTAGCCGTATACTCTGCATGCTTGCGACGCTCCGTTTTTCTGGTGTAAGCTACATGCACCAACCATGAGTGGGCTTCAGTGCCCCTGTGCTTAAGTGGTTGGGGCTTTAGTGGGCTGGCTTACGTGGGGGTCCCGTCCGAGCGCCAAGCGCATACCCCGAAGATGGGTTCCCGTGCGGGTTAAGTCTGACTTTGAGGTGCGTGTAATATTCCCCATCACTGTCCACTCTCCTTTATCCGATAGCCTTAAATTGGTCGCGAATGGCGCAAAGCCTCTTATCCTAGCCAGACCGAAGCTTGAACACTTGTAAATATGGCAGGAAACACTTCAATCTTTTGGCTACTGAACTAGGTATCTGACATGCATGCCCTCAATATGTCTTCCAAGAGGGTTGTGCGCGTTTGTCAGCTTCAGCGGGCGCGGGATAATGCTTCCTGTACACTAGCACGCAATTAGTCAGCATGTTCGCATGCTCGTAGATCCCTCGACATGCGTCATGCGGCGTTACCAGGGGATTCGGCGGCTCGCGGCAGGCGTATTCGAAAATAAAAGTGGTCAGCCCGGCCCGCGCTCCGGTCGAACCCGTTCCCGGCAGTCCCGCGCCGGACGCCCTTCAATGAGTCGGCAGGACGCGGTGCCGTCCACCCTGCGTCCGCCTCAGCGAGCCGTGGGCAGATAAGTCCCCCGGCCGCCCCCTGTGCACGTCGGGTGTGGTGAGGTCCCGTGTTTCCCGTTTGTAACGGTGTGGCCGCCCGCTCTCCGATCCGGTCCGGTATGTACTTCCTGGCCGCCTGCACGCAACGCCCGGCCGGACAGGTTCTGCTGCGGCGACACCCCGGCTCCCCTCGCTACCGGCGCCCGCGCCTGTTTAGGGGCCGTCGCAGAGGGCTCGGAGCATCCTGATGAGCTCTAAGCCGGGCTTGGGGCGTCTGCGGTCTGACTTTCCGCAGCGGAATTGTCGCCCCGCGGCGGGTTCAGCGCGGTCTCTTCCGGGCCACTCACGCCTCTCTGATGAGCTCGGTCGAGGACCTGTCCTAGGCGACTTAGGCTCGACCTCTGTTTCGCTTCCGGACTGAAATGACGCCTTCGTCGGTTATCTCGTTAGAACGGCGCGTCGCGTTTAACATAGATCGACGGGACTTAAGTCTTGCAAAAATGCAGCACTTGTTGGCAAGTGTGAGATAGGGTTGCTGACAGTGGCTGGCATTGGTGATGTGTTGTCAATGATGTGATAAAATGCTCGACATGCTTTATTTACTGCCTTAAACGCCCTAAATATATTTCAGCCGAGGGATACAGTTTCGCAAAATGAGTTAGGGGTGGGGATGGCCGAGGGAAACGACTCAACCCCTCCCGAAATAACGGAAAACTGGTTTTACTCCTGGAATGTACCACTTTCTCCAAAGTTGGGAGGGGGGAGGGCGGGTGCTAGAGCTCCTTACAAGTGAATAAGAAACACTCTGCCGCGGTTCCAGCCTGCTGTGTTTTTCTACCCTGTTTCTGGTGTGCCTTTGGTGGCTAATTATAGGTGCTAGACATTTATTTGATATCTGTATTTCAAAGTTCAAAATAAATAGTCTGAGCCATTACGCCATATTTTCTGTTACCTGCGCGTCCGAGAGGTAATCCTGTCGCTTTCACATTTGAATGTCACCATTGTCAAAAGTGCTCTGACAAAGTCGACCTGGTCCTGGCCTAAGCAGGTAATCGCCTGAACTTTGCATTCCAGCTGACATCTTCAGACTACTTTGCTGTAAAAATGGGCGCCTTTAGCTGGCTGCCAAGCGACCTTACCGCTAAAAATCTGAACCTTTCAGGTCTGATAACGCTGTACGTTCTCATCGCTGCGCTGGGCTACGCTGCCGCGGGTGACAGCGTATCCTCCAACATCCTGGACACGCTGAAGACGAGGACGCCCGGCATGTTGCCGGTGGTGGCGGAAATTCTCTTCCTGGTCCATTTGTTGACGGCATTCTTCGTCGTCATCAACCCGTTCTTCCAACAAATGGAGTCGGTGTTCCACGTGGCCGACAGTGAGTCGCCCCATGGCTTGTGTGTGTTCAAGCCGAAACATTGATATGACTGACAACCCCTTCCTCTTCAGCAATGTTCAGGAGGCGTGCGCGCTGTCGTGGATAGTGGCCAATATCTTGAATCCTCTACTTGTGTTACACAATTCAATTATATTGCGTACAGCTCAACTTCAATTGTGCGCGGGATTAAATGTGCAGCTAACGTCTTAAAGCCGGCTATCTTTTATTAGAAACCTGACAATAAAGTTCCTTAGGTTGGTCTGTTTGATATCTATGGGCGCTGAGAATAAACTATATCATACCACTGAACAAAACGTCTGGACCATATGGAGTCGTGAGGCGGGAGTAGCGACACAAAAATGAGGGCAGCGAGTCCCGTGGCAGTCTGTGAGACAAACACCTCCATCATTTCAGCACCAGTGTCGAGTCGGCCGCGCCAGGTGAGGGCCTGGCCCTCGCCCAGCAGAGCGTGACAGCCGGCGTGGCGACCGTTTCAGAGTTTGACCTGAGGCGGGTGCTGTTCCGCACGGCTCTGATGGGACTGCTGGTGCTGGTGGGTGAGACCGTTCCCGACTTCGTGGACCTGCTGGGTCTGATCGGCTCGTCCTGCGTGGCGATTACGGGATTCATCCTGCCGTGCGCCATGTACCTACGCCTGGTCGGCCAGACGGACCCCGCCGGCCGCTGGAGCGCAGAGTGAGTGCCGCCGCACAGCTCGAGCAGGTGCGGTGGCCAGCCCCGCCGGCCGCTGGAGCGCCGAGTGAGTGCCGCCGCACAGCCCGGGCAGGTGCGGGGGTCAGCCCCGCCGGCCGCTGGAGCGCCGAGTGAGTGCCGCCGCACAGCCCGGGCAGGTGCGGGGGTCAGCCCCGCTGGACGCGGCTGGGAGCGCCGAGTGAGTGCCGCCGCACAGCCCGGGCGGGTGCGGGGGTCAGCCACGCTGGACGCGGCTGGGAGCGCTGATGAACGCCCTATGGGTGGTGTGAGCACGGCCGTTGGACTGTTGCGTGCCTGAGGAAGTGGAGAGGGGAAGGGACGGACGCCGCGACCGCGGGCCAGCAGCCGACGGGTTAGATAAGGAGGATCCCATGTACCCTTGCCCCGTCCGTTGTATACTGCCAGTACCCGCACTATTCCTAAATACGGGCGATTTAAAGAAAAGAGAAAGAGAGAGGGAGAGAGAGAGGGAGAGAGAGTGAGAGGGAGACAGAGAAAGAGAGAGACAGAGAGAGAGAGAGAAAGAGAGAGAAGAAAGAGAGAAAGAAAGAAAGAAAGAGAGAGAGAGAGAGAAAGAGAGAGAGAGAGAGAGGAGAGAGAGGAGAGAGAGAGGAGAGAGAGAGAGAGAGAGAGAGAGAGAGAGAGAGAGAGGAGAAGAGAGAGAGAGAGAGAGAGAGAGAGAGAGAGAGAGCAAGGATTTCCAATGTTACTGGAAATGTATATTTCTTTGCAATTTTACGAGTGGAATATAGTTAACAGCGGTATAAGAGCCATTTCATTTTGACAAGTTCACTTGTTAAATTGTTGCACAAACTATCAGCACGGACGTTGCGTTAGGTTTGACCAATTGCGGCAGCAAGGACGTTGCTCGTCGAGGGTGCTGCATGTTTTATTTTCGTCCGACCACATTCGAATTGGAACAGCTGATAGATGTCAGATGTATCAACTACCGGTAGTCTCTGCCGAGAATTCCAAATTTGAGATAGAACCATGTCCTGCCAAATGTGTGTTGTTGTTGGGTTTTCACTGTCATGTTGTTGAAGTTAATGAGCTAGTCATCTTAAGCTGTTCATGTTAATTTAAGCCATAGACCAGTTTCGATAGAAAATTCCCGTACACTTCCGTGTGCAGGATATTGATGGGTTTTAGCAGTGTAGCGCAGCCCATCTTTGCAGACTGATAACGTAAGAGACCGCAGGTCGAGCCCTTGTTAAGGTCAACTAACCGGATATTTTGTAGCTTAAGCGAACCGTCTCAACCCGAGCGGGCCTGCGGCACTTCTGAGGGGCTTACGGCTTTGCGATGACTGCCCGTGCCACCGGGAAGTTTTCAGCGAGAAGGGGCATGTTTGTTTAAAGTCGTGCTGCAAGGCATGAGCTTGAAAGCCGCTTGATCATGCAGGATTTCACACACAAGGCAGCGCCAGAAATTCGCGTCCTGTTCCATTCACTGGGTAACGATAAACTTGCAATCAAAAATAACAGTTGAAAAACACCAATACCTTCAGTGTTTTTCCTAAGCACCTCATCATCTCGTTACTGAGTAACGAAGCCGTCATCTCGGTGACCTGAGACCACGTCATCGTTGGACCAACGCCTTTTGTCCGAGGAGAGACAGGAAGATTGTTCTAGCGCGTGTGTTGGTCGCTGTTCGAAGCCCGTCACGTGCGCTCGAGCGGGCACCAACACTGCACATGTGTAAAGATTGCTTAGATGCTGGCGATTGCCCAGCTTGGTTGTATTTCGGAGACCAGCGGGAAGATAAAGACCTGAAACCAATGTATGCTGTAGCATCGGTGCAACTCTGTGCACAGAACACCAAACGAACTTCTTTGAATTCCTGGGCGTCTCCTGATGTTTTAGGAGCCCCTGTAAGTCTGTTTGTTCTAGGGGACAGCGGCGTTTCAGCAACCCTTGATTATTATTAGGCCCTGACTTTGATGCTTATTCCTGATCATTTTACCCGTGATATTTTGGGAATTTTGATACTTCTGTGGGCCGAGAACCGGTATTCCTTAATGTCCTGGTGCTTCTGCTGGTCTTATTTGTAGTTCTTGTCCATTGCGTTTCTGTCTTCTTTTGCACGCTGTGGTTTTCTCTGTCTCGTCACCTAACTATCGCTGCTAAGACACCAAACCTTGTTGGCATATCCTGGCTAATTATTTTGACGAATATTGGTGTCGCGGAACACCATGATAGCAGCAACAAACAAAAACAGTAATGAAACAGGGGCTTGGCTGCTCGACGTCAGCGGAGCAAGCTCTAATTTGCCCACAAGGCCTTTTAAAATACGACACTCAAGTTTTTATAGCTAGTTCATTCAGACCGACCGTTTTGTTTCAGGTGTAGCCCCTCAAGCCGGGTTCAATTAAGTCTGATGCGTCGAAGTACCGAATCCCCCAGCATGGATTTCATGAGAAAATTTCCTCGTGAAAATGGAGCGCAAATTTTTTTCTCCTCTTGATAACCTCAGAGTCTTTAACGTTTCTGGGAACCTATGCAGCCTCTACAAAGCAAGTGACTTTTCCGGCTTTGGATTCTGCCGATGACATGCTGTATATATAGACCGGGACCTACAAGCTTTTCATTGCAGTCTAAAGAGTTTTATTTTCCATTGACCCTCTGAAAATGGATGCGCCGCGCTTTGTACGCAGCATTCATTTCTCTTCGGTGAGCCCTGCCATGTCTTTGGGGTCCCTTTTCCAGATTTGTGCACGTCGCACTCCCAGACACCTCATTTCTATCCTCTCGGATAGCACATATTCCTCAGTCGACTTACCGCCACCGATATACACGCTGGCACACACCACACCACACCGTTTTGTTCAGCCCGATCACCCTGATCACCGTCAGCCTGATCACCCTGATCACCGTCAGCCTGATCACCGCGCACACCACGCTTCCAGACAGCTTACGCCTGCCCGGGGCACACGCACGCGCTGCCCGCTCAGCGGATACCCCGCGTGAGCGCCCGCCTCGGCTCAAAACGGCCGAGCCGGCAGTTCTCCAAGGCGTCACCTAGCAACCGAACAGGCAGGTTTCGCTCTCGAATCATTCCCCACCGTAGATCACTCAACGATTTCAACACTGGGGGCGGGGGGAGGGGAGGCTTAGTCTTTTGGACATATGCCTACGTCTTACGTGTATCTTATCGCCGCCGTTTTATGCAGTAAGCTTGCGTGGCACGGAACCACAGAGCATAAATCAGCTACACAAAGCGAACAGAGATGTGGAGAACGGAAGCCGATTTGCAGACCATAGCAAACAAGATCCCTCATTATCGTATCCCAAGTTCTCTCACATGCTTATCTCCTTTAGAGGGAAAAAATTCCCGCCACAAAACTTGTTTACGACACTGAACATGTATGCTAAGATGCCTCATCTTCTTAAGGGGAGCGTTCTACCTTTGAAGATACGGAGGTAAACATTAGATATGATGGAAGAGCTCCCGTGGGACTACTGGCATGCATTGAATTGTGAAAGGCGGCTTCAGTGCGAACTTCCAAACGAAGCTTTGTCATAAAGGACAAAGGTTCGTTAATTTGCATGTGATGTTCTCTTCAATACGTCACCATTTGATCACGCCGTGAAAACATTTCATTGCGTCAGAGTCACTGCCAGACTGGCTGCGTCAGATCTGCCGCTATAGCGGACGGCGTAACTCCCGCGTGGTACTTCTCTGGGCCTCAAGCTGGTGTTACTGGTCTAGGCACGAATGTTTTTGTTACTTGCTATGTGTACGTGTGCTTTGTCCTTTTCTGGTGGTGTTATTGTTGTATGGTGGAATGTTTTGTCCTTGTTTTTGTTTTTAACTTGCATTTGCGTCCTCGGTCTGGGATCTATTCTGAACTATTCAATCTCGGACCTCATGGCCGTGTGCATCAATCTATCCGAAGACGCGGTTCGTGGTCTGTACAGGCCATCAGCAGTTTGAACTGCCTGTTAGCCAATTGTCTTTGAGTTCTGGGACACTTCCTACTCGTGTATTCCAAACATAAATGTTTCCTTGACCGTATTTTTCTTGACCTAAAACACAATGGGGCGAATGAAGCGTGGGTACATGCGCGACATTTCTTTGGCCCCACACATATCTGGGTAGCTTTCAAATAGACGGCGCGAAATAGGCTGCACAAGTTCACATGCGCTAAGCTCGGAAACAAGACGATTTTAAGTCTTGAAAAGGCATGACTATGAACTGCAAGGCATGATCTTACAAATGCCTGTCTTAGTTTAAAAACGAGCAAAAGCGGAGCAACTGCTTTTGGCTCAGTGCGAGCAAACATCAAATGGATGTATCCAAATAGCAAAATAATGGCCTGCTTTTCTGGCTGCAAACGCAAAGGCATATGCTGACGAAGCGACGGTCACAAAGTATATCTATAGTGCTTTTGGCACAATCTTTTTGTTTATGAGCATGAGGTTGCCACTAAGTGTCTCATTTCAATAACAGTGCTTAGCTGTAAACTTAACCACATCCAAATGGAAACCAACAAAGCCAAAGGAGGTAACTCTAGAGCATAGGTGAAGGAGCGCCTCAGAAAGCGGGCTGCTAAAGTAAATTTTGAAGCCGATTCCTTCCATGCATCGCCATTGGGTTAACGCTCAGCATCTTCGGAAATTCTGAGTGCCATGACACCTATCGACTCGTCACCCTCATTCCCCAGCGTCACCCTCCTTCCCAATCTCCTCTTTCCCTGAGACGTTAACAGTGGAGAGAGACCGACTGAAGTGATCCCTTTGTTCCAGGGCGTTACCGGTTTGGGAGCGAGCCATTCTGGTGACGCTCATCGTCCTGGGGGTGGTGGTCGGGGCTACGTCAACAGTGATGGCGATGACCAACATCATCAAGCACGGCCTGGCCTCCTCCTGCCTGATTTCCACCTGACGACTGCTTCCGTGGGCTTCACGCTACGACTCCCGTCCTCGAACGACAGCGCCGCCATCCAACACCGTAGTGCGTCCGAGGCGACACCTCACGGCGTGGCAGAGAACTATGCTGGCCGCCCATGTCGGGCACGCGTGCAAACCGCACGCTTTGCCGCTAAAAGGCGCGCAATGGTAGACGTCACTACACCAATTTTTCAATCAAATCTTATGAGCATATCATCGCTCCAACACGGCACTGATTGGCATGCCATAATGTCAGAGCGGAAATCAACACACGTCGCCGAGTGTCTACAACCTTCTCGCGGGTCAAAGCATTTTTGTATGCCTAAATATATGCACTGCGTGACTCGTGGTGTTATATATAAATACCGGTATATTTTCAGTGCTAAGAGCATTATCCTACTCTGGTTTCCGTACACATGACAGGTGGTACACAATGGTCTATTAGGGCATACGTTCCTGTCGTAAACGTCGCTAGATCGTAGGAAAATCTTATGAAGCCATGACATATTTTCATGACGCAATTTGTACTGCATGCAGTCATTCCGTTCCAGTCTAAAAATTGTTTTTAAGTGGCAAGTGCATTTTTTTCAAAGTTTGCAAGCATGCTTATAGATCGTCAAGTTCTCAAGGATTTGCGTGCTTAAATGGTTACGATGAGACAAAAGATATAAGCACAGATTGGTATATTAACCTTACATTCAACCTCATTGGTAAATATCTTGCACATGACACGTTTGAGCGGGTCATTCATTATTCTGTATAGAGGTCTAATAAACCAACAGCGCAAAAAAGACAGGTGTAATTATTGCGAGGCGAAAATGTCCTTGTTCATCGACCACCTGTGTTCGTGGGTAAAAACAACGGAAGCGTTTAGACGTGAACACGTTCAAAGTTTCAGGCCGCTGCGTTACCCTCTGAAGGTCGTACTTCTACATTCAAAGGGGTTCCAAGACATTGGTTTCGTGGAAAAGACTCCTGCCGACCGGAGTGCTAAGATATTACTTACACTGCAAATTATTATACCCGACATTAATGCTACGCGACAATGCTTTAGCTACAAAAATGTGTCCGTCATTATTTCTGCTGTCAAAGTAATGCAATCCTCAACTATACGCGCCATCACTTCTAATGCCAACAGTTATGTGCAAAATTAGCGCTACACGACAAAATTTCTACTTAAAAACTTATACCCAGCATTCCTTCCATTGCAAAAACTTCTGCAGTATTTACGTACGGGCAACATTGCTTCTACTTTCAGCATTTAGCCGTGGAGTGGAGAATGTGTGAATACCAAGCAGGGGTGTAGGAACTAAGCTAACTAGTCACTAGCTAACAACTTATCGGTTAAGATGGAACCCAAATTGAGGAATAATGAAATTTGAAGTTCGTGATAACAATACGAAAACTTGGTTAACCATTTCGCTGCCTTTTTGTCAATTCATCGTGCCTGGCGGATGGGTAAAAGATGCAGTTTTGGCAGCAGAAATCCAATGACGTGCATGTTTTTTGGAAGTATTAGTTTATTGTGTAGGCGTGCAACCCTAAAGCCTTATATGTAAGTCATTGTAGTAGTTGTAATGTCGCGTCTTTAGTGAGCACCGCACTAGGCATGTGGTCTCATATTCAGTCGAGGGCCCCATCCAACCGTCATCTGTAACAGGACGGTGTGTCATATGCGGGCACACGCCTCCTTCCATCCCGAGTTATCTGGTCTCTCTTCACCGAGGTGTCTGAAGTAAGAAAAAACTGGGATTTGCATTCCTTGTGAGAAACAGTGACGCATGGAATTTCCTGCGTCAGAAGTTTGTCGTGTATAAGTCTGTGCGTTTCAAATTTTTGAATAAAAAGTAAGGTCGCATAGAAGCTATATGTTAGAAGTTATGTAGCTGAAAGGTAATGTCGCACAGAAGCTTTGCGATGAAATTTAAACTTATGAAATGTCATGCATCCAAAGATTTGACAAACGTGATATTGCTGTGCGTAAGGTTATGCGCTAGACATTTTGTTGCATGACGGCAATTTCGTGCAGATGTTTCACAATAGACGATTTGTCGCGTAAAAGTTGTCCACAATAGAAGGATGACGCGAGGATGTTTTTACCTCAGACGTTTTCTTGCGTAGTGGCAATGAGGTGTGGAAGTCTTTGCGTTAGCAATTGTTTTGTTAGAAGTTTTGACGCGTGGAAGCCAATTGCTTCAGGTATTCTTGTATTCGAAGCAATGCCATGCAGAAGTTGTGTCGTGCAAGTTCTGTCATTAGCAGTATGTACGTTAGAAGTATTGTCGGTACACCCTTAAACTGAGTGGAAGTGCCGATGCTATGATTTGCGAAACATGCCCTGTATCGTATGGCACAAATATTGCGCATGAGCATTGGCAAAAAAGCAATAATATTTATAAATAAATGCTATCTGATTTTCTGGAGTAGTAATCATGCTGATCAGAAGCTTTTCAAATGAAAGTTTTTCATCATTTTTCAAATTTTGACGTGTAGCACTAATGTTACATTAAAGTCGTTGCAGTAAAAGTAGTGGGACATCTAAGTAATGACTACCAGAGTTGTCGCAATAGATGAATGACCGGTATAAGTTTTTGAAGCATATGAGTTTTGTCGTCGAACATTAATGTCGAGTGTGATTTTGTAGCAGAATGAATCGTAATAAATGGATAAATTTGCAGAGTGAAGGAATGATGGATATAATTTTTTTTTAAGCAAAACTTTTGTCGTTTAGCACCTGGCAATATAAGAAATGTTGCGTACAGATGATGACTGTATTATAACTTTTGCAGCAGAGGTAATGACGGGTATAAGCTTTTGAGGTATACATTTTGTCACGTAGCACTGATGTCGTATATAGGTATTAAAAATTGTAACAGAAGTAACATCGCGATAAACTTATATTGTAGCACTCCGGTCTGCATGAGCCTATACCGCAGCACTTATGTTGCGACACCGCATAGTATGAACCATATTGGGATCGCACGTCCAAAGACGGTCACGACGGCAAAGATTATACGGCGGTCACAAATAACAGACAAAGTACTCCGGCTCATGAAGTTGTTGGGATGGCTCAAGGACATTTGACGATAAGGGGTCTAAAGGGCTCGGAGACCGATGAACTCTACTGAAAGGACCAAGGGGCTCACTTTAACCCTCTTACCCTCACGTAAACCTTTACCTTTAACTTTTACTTAGTCCTCACTTTAACTTTTAGCCCGCTAACCCTCACACTGATGTGGCTTCGATGCGTCCCCTCCCTGGTTATAATATGCTGGGGTCCGCGCTGCCCGCGCTGTCTGTTCTAGAAGGGAATTCATAACATTATGCATTACACGTCATGTGCGCGTAAGTAACTTCAAAAACCATGCAGGAACTTCTACTAATTTATTGAGTGAGTCACAGCGCTTGATTCCATGCGAGTTGTGCTTTGAGAATCTCGTGATTACCGTTTGATGTCGGTGAGGAATTCGTCGGTGGGCAAGGCATTGTGTAAAAAGCGAGGCGCCTTTGCTCCGAGTTACGCGCACGGTAAAAATGAAGTTGACGGGGAAACGTTATGGAAATCCGTGGTTAACATAATGGTGGTCAGTATGGGAAATTTCGCTTGAGAGTAAAGAAAGAAATATCGAAAATTTTATATTAACAAAAAAAGAAAGTCAGCTCGTCACATGAAGATTATGAAAGTAGAGCGATTATAACATCTTGCAAAACGTGCCGTAGGCCAAGAATAACCATGCGATGTGCGGATGGTCCGTAGCGATGCAATACATAAAGAAATATCTGTTGAAAATATCGATAGAGATATTGTCATTTATGCAGTGAAGTGGATAAGGTTCAATAAGAGTTAACTAGAATAGCGTAATGGTATAATGCAAAGCGGCCAACTTTAATCAACGCAAAATGTACTCAAAGCGAAAGGTAAGCTCACATCACATATGTAATGTATTTTCGGCGCAAAGTAAAGTGATCCCACAATCCAACCGCCACACAAAATCATTTCGGGGTTTTGCGGCGGGGCGATGGCAATTAATTTGTTCCAGGAAGAGGCTGCTCAATAAAAACAGCCGGGCAGAGAAAGAACGGCAAGAACCAAATGGTCGCGATGGGCCCGACATCATCGCCTTGATGGTGCCCTGTCATGCGACGGGACGCGTCGTGAACAACCAGCAATTATGTTCAGCGTAACCAAGGGGAGGGAATTTCGTCCAACGGAACCAGAGCGCAAGTAGGAAGAAGGAGAGGCTAGTAACTCGAAAAAAATAAATGTAGACGCAAAATGTTACCGGCGCCCCAAAATATGTGTACATATTCATGTCATATTCAGGGGTGCCAATTTCTGTTAATTAGTGAGGGGGCCGAACCGAAGGCCCGTCAACCTACGTTCCTCACTCCCATTTTTCTCACCGGATTTAGCCCACTTTGTTTTGATTAAACGCAATGTATGTTTTTTATTATATTTTTTATATATTTGTATAATGTATAAAAGCCTTTGATTTAAGCAGTATGGAAATCACGCAGGGTTGGATCCAGGGAGCACGGGCACTGGACGCAGCGTCCCTTCTGATCGGCACGTGAAGGCGCTCCTTTAGAGGCCACCTTAGGGCGCCGATGGCGCTCTTCTTTGGCGGTCATGGGAGGCCGCACGCATTTTGGCTATGGGGACGCGTGTGGAGTTCGCCATGGACTCAGGTCATCCCGTATTCCAGAACTTTTCACTTGAACATCACAAACCATTGCGAGTCTTATAGCGCTAAGTATGTGAAGTTTATTACATCGTTCATCCGCTCAGCTGTTATGATTTGCATCTGATGGTAAGGGCAACCAATACTTTGTTATGAGTCGTACGAGACGCCACTACGCAGAAAGATAAAAGAAGATAGTATTTTTGTCATGCTCATCTTTTGTCCGCATTTTTTGAAGCATTCCAAGCAAAAACATTGGAGGGCCAAGCCAACATTGGGGAGCCCTAACTCGACGCTGGGGGCCAGGGCCCTCACAAAAGAAAACAAATCGAAGACGGTGGTTGTATTGCATTATGCCAACCAGTTACGTCTTAGTCAAGACTAAAAATAACATCGGAGGCCATTTGGCTTAAAATGGCCCCCTTTTATTACGGTGGAAGCTCCATGAGTACCGGCCTGCACAACTTGCAAAAGTTTGTGGCCCCACACCCACTTGGAAGCTCCATGAGTACCGGCCTGCACAACTTGCAAAAGTTTGTGGCGCCACACCACACTTCTGCTATCATACACTTTACCGTATGAGCAGCCGTAAATCTTAGTCTGAGCATGCCAGGATCAGTGGGCAAAATCAGCTCAGTTTTTTTAGTGAAAAACTGTCTCATATTCATGTTGTAATTAACAAGCTTCTTCATGCTTCCGAATCATTGGTAATTGTTGGATCAATCCTTTGCTGATAAATAACATTTCCTACAAACGTCATTCAAGGTGCAGATCGAGCGAATTTCATTTAACAGTCAGTTTTGTATGTCTCTACCGGCCTCAATGGCGCCAATCAGCTCGAGTCACATTTGCCGCGGAACGTCGCTTTGTTTGCTTGCAGGCGGTGCGAGTCGTCTCGCTGAGTGGTAGCGTTAGCGGTGTCTGGTCACGGGTGGAGGTATCCTGGGGCCACTAATTGTGATTACATCTGAAAAGTTGTAGTCCCGGATTTCCTGTGCAGTGCTGCTCCGAGAAGTCCAAACTGAAGCTTGTGGAAAGCGGCTGAATCAAATTAGGTGTTCAGCTGGGCACCAGTATAACAGTATTGCAGTCGGCGCCCAGTTGCATACCGCGTACAGGAGCCACTTTTTACCGTGAACACAAAATGTCTGAACGCGAGGAAGAAAGTCCCACTCCTCTGGGATCAGAGAATCAATCGGTAAGGACATTTTTGCTTTTCCTGTCCTGTCGGTTGTGATAGATAATGCCCCCTTGAATAGATTTGTGGAGCCAAGCTGGACGTATGATCACCTTCACTTTTACGTTCACATTTTTCTCGCTAAAATATGTCAGTAATCAAGGCAAAAATTTAAAGGCACAAGGCTTATCGCTGGTGTAAATGTATGAGCTGAAAATATTTGCTGTAATCTTTTACTAAGCTACCTTCCCACATATGGATGCTGAGGATAGGCTTTCATGGGAGATGTGTAATATGGGCTCATCTGGTGATATGAATCTGCCATATGTGCCATATGAAAGTGCCATATGAAATGCTGAATTTTATGTGGGTGTTAAGTATTCAGGATTGTATTATGAGTAAAATACTGGCATCCACATTGTGTACAAAATGTCAAATGTCAATTAAATGCTTAATATAGGTAGCTTTGCAGTTTCCTTCACTTTGAATCTGTTTGAAATGGTCCTGATTTTATGCAAAGCTCAATCATGAAACAGTTTGTGGTTCAGGAGATTTACAGAATGAATGGAATTTGTCAAGGCTATTATATCATAAGCAAATGGTGTGTTAATTGAACCTGAGCCAAATAGGCTGTGTACGAGTGCGTGATTACTGTGCCAGATTGCTCACTCCTTGCTCATTCTCATTTCAGAATGCCTCGTCAGAGAAGGGGAGCGACACATATGAAATGTCACGGGTAAGTGGGGACCAAAAATCTGGCACTTGTGTTGTTGATTATGGTAAATTGCCACTTGTTAGGCTTCAGCCCTGTTCCATGCACTGGCACATTTTGCCTGACATAGTCTTCCATTAGGATGCCAGTAGGGTAGTGGTAAGGCTGCACAGCTGAGAAATCAGATGCATGCTGTTTGATTCCTTGCAGTGCTCACCCTTCCTGAGAGGTTAAAAGGCTGTTGACATACAGAGTCAGCAGCTGTGTGCATGACTGCACTGCTTATCCTTGGCATGATTTTACAACATTGCATAATAGTGTCAAGTGTACAAATGTGCCATACCATGAAACATTAAAGCATGTTAAAACACGCTATCAACATGATGCAGGCTATTATCAGTTTTCATTGAGTCTGGTCTTCAGTGCACCTGATCTTTGGGAACTTTGACATTGATGGAGCCTTCTACACTCCGCTTTGAGCGAAGAATGAGCCCCAGCATTCGCATCACATGTGGGACTTGCAGCTAACAATTCTTAGTTTTCCTTGTGATATGGCAAAAGCCATCTTACATAAAGCTGGTGCAGTAGCTGGGACACTGCATGCATAGCTTTTTAATAACTTATCGGACATTATCTATGAAGAACCCTTTCGTCTGGACCCATGTGAGTTAGATCGCTACCATAAACATAAATCCTTTGCCTATGTTTAGGCCATTGGCAGGTCAAATTTCGTACACAGAGCATGGCATTGCTCTTAGATGGGGGAGGGCCTCCCAGGGTGGCAAAGTCAGCATAAAAACAATGAGATTGTATAATGATAGTATTTGCAGTTGTGTGAAGGTTAACTCCATTATTCTACAAATTGTGTTGCATTTTCATCCTGTAACATGATAACTTGAAAGAGAAAATAGCTCAAGTGCAGGAAATGGTGATGGCAGACAGGTGTTGGACTGAATAATTAGTTACTTGTTTCCCAGGTTTGTGTTTTTTGTGTTTGAGATGGGGCAGTCATGAGTACAAGGTATGTAGAGGAATATTTTGCTTGAGTTTTGGCAGCATTCATAGGGCAGGCAGAGTTGAAAAGGTGAACCTTCCTCTGAAATATGAGCAAACTTCTCTTCTTAATACCCTGGAGAAACCTCTGAATGACCCACCCCCTTAGATGTCCTGGGTATGCCTTGAATGCATATATTTAACTACAAATTGTAATGGGATTTCATACTTTTCTGGTAACTTAAGGCTATTGTTTGCCTGATAGGAACTGCAGAATTGTTTCTTCTTTTACAGTACTGCTAAAAATGCACTCCTAGATCTGCCATTGACTGCTCAGACAGAAATGGTAGTGTTGCAGGCAGTCTGATTGTATTGTGGTATACCCCGACCTCCCATACCAGCTGCCAGGTTGGACTGCAGTGGTTGGCTCAACATGTGAGATGATAGTGTTAGAATCATAATCAGAAGACCAAGGTTTGAATCCTTGGTCTTCATTGGAATCAATGACTGTTATCAGATTGACTGATCCATTTCATATGATCTTTTTCAGGAGAAAGATCGGTCGAAAAGATTCGACTTCTTGCTCAAGCAAACGGAGATCTTTGCACATTTCATGTCGACGGCAGGTCGTCACAAGCCGAGCTCGCCGCTCAAGGTCAAACCAGGACGGCCCAAAAAAGTCCAGACGGAGGTGGCTGACGGAGAGTAAGGGCGCTGTCTGGTGGATGCGCCAATGTCGGGTGGAACGGATTTGTTCCAGCACCTAGTGGCAGCAACCAAGTATTTTTTCTAGACATTACAATCTTTGAACTTGCTTTGTTCATTGTTATGTGGACTTTTGATTGCTCTGCGCTGTATGACGCCCCAGAAGAAATGTAGGGGCGCGTGGTGCACGCGATGTGATGATTGCTGGGATGCTGCTGGCCCTTCGTATCGTTAGTGTGTTGTGCCATGATGTCAGATGCGTCGGTGGTGCCGGCGAGACGAGGCCGGTGTGCGCCGGTGTAGGTGTATGCATCCTCGTCGCCGTGCCAAGCGCGGGGGTGGGGCTGCTTGTGGCGCTGCCGCCTGTCTCATGCTCACGGCCTTCGTGCCGGCAGCCATCGTCACCGCATGACGGAGCAGGATGAGGACGAGGAGCTGCTGGCAGAGGCGGGCAAAGGCACCAAGGCCATCGTCCGCTTCGACGAGTCGCCGCACTACATCAAAGGCGGCAAGCTCAGGGACTACCAGGTCAGTCCGGGCACTGCTCGGCCAGCACGTCTGCTGGCTTGGCGGCCCGTCACGCGCAGGCGCACTGCACTTTACTCGCCACGTTTAGGCGCGACTTGCAGCCTCTGGCTGGCTGGCTGGCTGGCTGGCCGGTTGGCTGGTGTAGCGGACGCCTGGCGCTGGCCGATTGGCTGGCGCGACGGACGCCTGACGCCGGCCGGTTGGCTGGCGTGACGGACGCCTGGCGCTGGCCGGTTGGCTGGTGCGACGGACGCCTGATGCCGGCAGGTTCGCTGGCGCGACGGACGCCTGACGCCGGCCGGTTGGCTGGCGTGACGGACACCTGACACCGGCCTGTGATGTCGGCTCGGCGCTGCTCCTGTTGACATGTCCTGGAGCTGACCACGGCTGTTGAGATAGACGCCTCACAATGCAATGTGTTAACGGCGGTTTCGCCGATCACGGAATGAGTTCAGTAGTCGTCAGAGGTACTGGGATACGACGGAGTCACGGACCATTTAGAGCTTGTCAAAATCCAAGCAAAGCGAAGACGTATTCCCCGAGTCTCATAGTCAGCGGCGGATTGCTACGGCTGTGCCCCTGGCGTGTTGAGAGCGTCACGAGCTGACCGATCGCACCTGGCGGCGCGGCCCATCAAGTGTGGTGGCTGGTCCCTCGGGATCGTGAGCTGGAAAAAACATGTTTACTGTCCAGAACATTGAATGCTCACCGGTGGCTTGTGTAATGGTGTACATGACACTGACCTATATGTTTAAGTGATACGTTATATTTTGTCAGGGAAAGGCGCTTCGGTCATGGACGTTAGGAACATTGCTGACTTGCTCATGACACCAGGCAGTAATTTGCTCACGCGGACATTGGACACTTTCGACGCGCTGCCACCAGTTGCCCATCATAACCACGGAGGTCACGAAAGGCGACAATGGCACGAAATTTGCGGCACGCAGACATGCTTTGGACAGCCTACGGCCTACTGACACTTGGTGACCACGGACGTGATTGGGAAGGCGCGCCGAGCGCCCAGCACGCGCTCCCTGTCGATCAGCAGCGAGTTGGTCTTGATCTGCAGCTCCTCCTCCATCTTGTTCTTGCGGCGGAGGAGCGCGGCGATGGCCGCCTCGGTGGCGGCCAACTTCTGCTTCAGCTGGTCGATGCTGCCGTACAGATCGAGCACCTCGCCCTGCAGCCGAATCATGGCGTTGTCGCGGCACAGCTCCATGCAGTTACGGTGCGTGCGCCGCTCCAACCGCGTGTGCGCCACCTTGAGTGGCGGGCACTTGTCGCCGAGCGCTTTCTGCAGCGCCTGTCGGTACTTCTCCTGGTCGGCCAGCTCCTGGACCAGCCGCGACAGCTCCGCCTGCACCCTGTTCTTCATGTCGGTCGTCTGCTGGATGCGCTGCGCCAGCGCCTCGTTGGTGTTGTTCCAGGCCTGCCACAGCTCGTTGACAGAGGCGGCGATCATGGCTTCAGCCTCTGCGCGCAGGCGCGAGCTCTCGGCGCGCGCGTTCTGCGACCGCTGCACCAGCCGGATGGTGTAGTCGAGCCACGACTCCGGCGTGCTCATCGTCTTGTCCCACTGCTCGATGCCCGGGTATAACGCTATGCCCGGCGACGAGTTGTTGAGGCCGTGCGAGTACTTGTCGATGTTGAGCGTGGCGAACTTGTCGAGCGCGTCGCGTTCCAGGCAGTTTCGGGAGTCACACAGCTCCTGCAGGGTCTGCGCGATCCGCTCGAGCAGGCGGCACATGCGCTCTTGGAACGCCTTTATGGTCTCCACCTCATGGTTCAGGCCGATTTCGACGCAGTCGTGCACAAGGTCGATGCCCATCCGCTGGTCACGAGCGTACAAACTCTCCCGGTCGATTTTCAGAGGATTTTCTAGCTCGCGCAGCAAACATTCGGCCTGTCGCTTCATTTCTTCCATCTTTTGTGTTTCAATTACGTTCATTTCGAGTTCGTGGAGCACCTCGTTTCTCCAGTAGTTTACGTCCCCTATTCGCTCGCCCAGACGCTGAGTAGAATCTCGTTGTCCGAAGGTTGTCAGGCAGTCCGTATTTCTCATGGTGCGGAGGGAATCACAGCGCACATGCTCCCCGACGTTTCGGTCGCCTTCGGAATTGTTCAAGTTGTCGAAGTTCGTCTGCTGCCAGTCAGCCATGGTGTATTTGCTATGGAATGTTTTTTGCGGTGTTGCCCGAATGGGTGGGCACAGTGGGTGTTTCCCCAGCGCACTTCGCTCCCAGAGTGAGGTTGCATTGGCCGGAATGGAAACCCCCGGTATATACTTGTCCACCGTGACATTCGGTCGGAATGAGTAGTCGTACGGTGAGCCGGAGCCCAGCGTCCGGACGTTCTCTCCACAACGACAGTCACCCACTTGCCGTAGCTCTGTTTTGAACGTCGTCGTCATTTTAAAAGTATGCTAAGTTGTGATGATACAAGTCATATAGAATTATGGGTCCGTGCCCAAATGCAAAATTTTTCCCTAGCCACAAACTGGCCCGATTCAAGGGCACACATGCTTCTGCACAACCATCCCAAAGACGCCATATTTCGAGTTGCACGTGATTTGGTTTCTAACTGCGCTTGCGAGAAAAAAGTGGCCGTTGTGGCATTACTTATATCGGTACTTACGTTAAATTTTACGTGCTCAATTTGTATGTAAGTTGTTAGGTGCATTTGCGAGGAACGTTATTCATATACAGAAGACGGTACTGTCAGCGTTATTCACCTTAGACGTTTAGCCAAGCTTTGCTCGTAGAGATCAGCGTGCGTAGATACTGTGCTTTACGAGGAATAAGGTGAACAGTCTGCCTTCACTTTGTTTTTGTTCATCATAAAGCAAAGCACGCTTTTGTGCTAAATGTCCTCGGGTGGTTCAAGAAATAACCCAGTATTTACTGCTCTTTATACTTTCTTGCAGGCTGTTAGTGTGCAAATGTGCTAGCTGACATTTCACATAGTTAACGTAAGCAAACCATCCTTGTATCACAAGTGTACATCTATTGTGTCTTTTTTCGAAAGGTGCGTGGCCTGAATTGGATGATAGGACTCTACGAAAATGGCATCAACGGCATCCTGGCTGATGAGATGGGATTGGGAAAAACGCTGCAAACCATCTCCCTTCTCGGGTGAGTTGACCTTTGGGTACCTTTTCGTGGATGTTGATAATTGTTCTGGGTAGATTGCGTTTCCTGACTGTTGACGCGTTATTCGCATTGGCCTTCAATGATTTGTTCGCGTTGTCGATCTGTTCTTGTAGATGACGCCTTTCGCTTACGAGTCGTTTCTGGATCGAGCTGCAACGAACAACGCATAGATACACTGACCGGTACTTTTCAGCTACATGAAACACTACCGCAACATCCACGGTCCCCATATGGTGATTGTACCCAAGTCGACGCTGTCCAACTGGAAGAACGAGTTCACGCGCTGGTGTCCGACTCTGCGCGTTGTCTGTCTGATCGGAGACCAGGAGACCCGGGTACGTGGCCTTCTATCGTGCTTGTCGACTCGGGCACGGCCAGCTGTCGAGAAATAAGACCAGCAAACGGTTCGAGGCATGTCTGCGACTTGTGAAAGCTTTTTAATGCATGCCATTTCGGGATCGGTGCGTGAACAGGAACGTAGAACGTGAACGAACGTGTTCGTGCAGGAACGTAGCCGTCGGCAGTTACAGCTCGCATCATAACACCTCGGATTTGCATGTCATACCGGGTTTGTCACAGCGTTCACGTGTGGTTGGGAGCGCAGCCCTGCGCGTGGAGGCAGCGTCACCTGGCAGGATGATGGATGGGCGCGGCGTGCGCGTGACGCCGGCGGACGTGTGACGCGCGCCTGCGTCCCTCCCTCTCCGCAGAACGCCTTCATCCGTGACGTGCTGCTGCCGGGTGAGTGGGACGTGTGCATCACGTCCTACGAGATGTGCATCAAGGAGAAATCTGTCTTCAAGAAGTTCAATTGGCGCTACATGGTGATCGACGAGGCGCATCGCATCAAGAACGAGAAGTCGCTGCTGTCTCAGATCGTGCGCGAGTTCAAGACGTCCAACCGCCTCCTGCTGACGGGCACGCCGCTGCAGAACAACCTGCACGAGCTGTGGGCGCTGCTCAACTTCCTGCTGCCGGACGTGTTCAACTCGTCCGAGGACTTCGACGACTGGTTCAACACCAACGAGTGTCTGGGCGACAACTCGCTGGTGGAGCGGCTGCACGCCGTGTTGCGGCCCTTCCTGCTACGACGCCTCAAGTCCGACGTCGAGAAGAGTCTGCTGCCCAAGAAGGAGGTCAAGATCTTCGTCGGTCTCAGCAAGATGCAGCGCGAGTGGTGAGTTCGGGTGGGACGCTCAGCAGCGGCCGTGGTCGGCGGGGTCGAGCCTCCTGATTGGCCGTGTTTTGGTTCAGCGTCGCGTTCGCTTCCGTGGATGCCGACGCGATACATCAAGTGCTATCTCCATTTTGGACTATCTGGAAATGTTCCTATGAATGCTTGAGGAAGAAATTTATTTCATTTAGTGCGAGGGATAAAGTAAGTTTACGTTATGTATCGGGGGCCTTAGCCCCTCTGAAGCGGGCCCCGGGTAGCGGGACTGACAACTACACTGCGGCTGACAGGTACACAAAGATCCTGATGAAGGACATCGACATCGTCAACGGCGCCGGTAAGCAGGAGAAGATGCGCCTGCAGAACATCCTGATGCAGCTGCGCAAGTGCTGCAACCATCCTTACTTGTTCGACGGTGCCGAACCGGGCCCGCCGTACACCACCGACTACCACCTGGTGAGCGGCCTGAGCGGCGTGCGGGACGCTGGTACGGGATGGGAGGCGGGGACCGACGGAAGCGGTGCGACCCGGATGGGATGTGGGATGTGGGAGTCACGACCGCGATGGGATGTGGGATGTGGGAGTCACGACCAGTATGGGATGTGGGAGTCACGACCGGAATGGGATGTGAAGTCACAACAGGGATGGGCTGTGGGAGTCACGACCGGGATGGGATGTGGGAGTCACGACCGGATGGGATGTGGGATGTGGTAGTCACGACCGGAATGGGATGTGGGAGTCACGGCCCGGATGGGATGTGGGATGTGGGAGAGACGACCGGCATGGGATGTGGGATGTGGGAGTCACGACCGGCATGGGATGTGGGATGTGCGAGTCACGATCGGGATGTGGGAGTCACGCGGTGTTTCATTTCCTGAAATACATACTTGAGCGACTGTTGGCTAGATCTGGTGATGGGACGCGGCAAACAATGTATGGGTTTGGGCTTGTGTTTATGATTACCCCATGCATTCGCCACTTACCATATCCTGGCTACTATTGCGGTTGCAGCTAGGAGCCCGCTATAATTAAATTATATTAATTAAATCATTACGCCATAGTTTTACTGCCCACTTTCATTGGATCGGCGCCTTATATTGACCGTGCTGCAGTGAACCCTCCGCCTGCCTGCTGGACTGATCTGGCGGCGGCGTCGGCGGTGCCACGGCCGTTGTGGTGACAGGTTGCCTTCGTCGCCAGGTGGAGAACAGTGGTAAGATGGTGGTGCTGCACAAGCTGCTGCCCAAGCTGCAGGAGCAGGGCTCCCGCGTGCTCATCTTCTCCCAGATGACACGTATGCTCGACATTCTGGAGGACTACTGCTTCTGGAAAAACTACATGGTATGTCATGGGCCAGATGCTCGCCGCCCTGTGCCATCAGGGGAGCGCGAGCGTAGAGGTTGTGACGGCGCGGAAGTTAGCTGGTGACGCCCAACCGCCGTGGGCGCAGGTAACGGAACCGACGCCGGGCCACCGAATGTGTTTAGTGGGAGATTTGTTGTCTACTTTGTCTTCGTCATTGGAGGCTTACCACTCACTCAGCTGCTGAGGCTATATGTCGTCGCCTGCCTCTCACCATGGCGGAAAGGGCGGGCGCCGCGGGAAATCGAACCCCGTAACTCTGGTTTCTCAGACGGGCAGCGGTTAACGCGTTGGCGTTAACCATTACACCAGCGGCACCCGGATCTCCGTTTTGACCTGACGTAAGCTAAACGCCTCTGTTCTGACGCTAAGCTCAGTGTGCCGTGCCAGGTGGAATGACGTACTGCTGTTCCGACGAACTGCTCTGACCTGATGGCCTGACCTGACCTGGCCCTGTGACCCGCAGTACTGTCGCATCGACGGTCAGACGGCCCACGAAGACCGCCAGCGGCAGATCGACGAGTTCAATGCGCCCGGCTCCAGCAAATTCATTTTCATGCTGTCCACACGCGCCGGTGGCCTGGGTATCAACCTGGCCACGGCCGACATCGTCATCCTGTACGACAGCGACTGGA